GGAGAAGCAGACCCCCTGCTGAGCAAGGAGCCCGATAAGGGACTCAATCCCGGGACTCCAGGATCATGACCTGAGCCGAAGGCAGTCGCCCAACCAACTGAGCCACCCAGGCGCCCCGGCTTTTTTTTTTCTTTACTTTTTGGAGAAAAAAATGAAATCACACCACTTGATACTGGTTTGCAGCTGACTTTAGACACCTGAGAGCGTAATAGGAGCATCTTTCTCCCTGACGCTGACACTCGTCTAAAATGTCAGTGTTAGTGGCTACGTGGGATCCCGGTGCATGGCCTTCCCGTTACTGCGCCGGTCCCTTCTTCCCAGTGCTGGAAGTGATAGAGACAGCACTGTGGTCAACATCCCTGGTGCGCATTCTTGGAACTTTCCAGAACCCGCCCTTGGGATAAATTCCTAGAAGCAGAATCTCAGGGTTAGAGGGAAGATCACAGAGGCGCTGCCCTACAAGTCCTGTGTGTCCTGCTCTCTGGGTGTTGTCCTCCCTCACAATGGCTGGTGCTTTCCCCACACTTGCATGGGAGTGTGTGCGTGTGTGTGTGTGCGCACACACACACATGCACACACACGCACGCATACACACGGCCTGACACCAAAGCCCCATAGAAATGGCCAGAGTTCTGGGGATCCAAGAGTCTGCCCTGTCCTGTCCATGGTCACTTGCTTGTTGTCACTCCCATGAGGGTGGGGACTTCACCGTGCTCCCTGCTGTATGCCCAGCACCTGAACAGAGCCTGGTACACACTAGGTGCTCAGCAGATGTTTGTCTATGGAAGGAAGGCCGCCTCCCGAGCTCCCACCTTGAGGACTTGGCAGGGTGTGTGTGTGTGCGCGTGCGCACGGAAGGCGGGTCCCTGCAGCGCCTGCAAGAACCACCGGCCTCTCTAGGACAGTGGCATCCACCTTCGGCGAGGGCTCAAACGCTGTTCTGAGACATGACAGGGACAGCACATGCCCTTCAGGAGCAAAATAATTTTTAACTATCTGCAGTCTTCCACGGGCCCCTAATTGTTTCTGAGATGGGACAGGGGTGTGCAAGCCCAGAGCTCAAGGAGATACCTTCTAGGCAGAGGCCCCCGACCTCCCAGCCCCCACGCCCCTCAGGCCATGTGCCAGTGCCCTCACACCTCACACAGCCCCCCTGCTCCCCCCGCACAGGCCTGCTCCTCCTCCACGAGGCTGGGGTCCTCCCTGGGCACAGAGGCCTCGTGCCTTCTCCTTCTTCCTCCACTGCCTTGTACCCTTGTCCCCGCTCTGTTCTCCTCCTCCCCGGAGCCAATTGTCCTAATGTGTTTACTGTGGATCTTTCTGCTTGTGTGTGTTCTTGCAAAATGCTTATTGTTGCTTTGTGTGCATGTATTTTTAATTTATGTAAATGAAGCTGC